CTCAATAAGTCTATCATCTTATGCTGCAGTCACATTATATTTATACCCAATTTACCTTGGAATAACTCATTTTGCATTCACCGTATGTTTTCCTTCAATAGCAAGCACAGGATTGTAATGGAATGCCTGCAAGAAAACAACAAAGCTCAGACAGCATCAAGGAACCTTCATTTCAACCCTACAGCTACAAATATTCTCCTCTATCGACTGTACCATTAAGCATCATACTTTACAATGCTGCAAATCAACTATAAACACCCCCAGATCATCAGATAATTTGGGTGATAAAAACGGGTACAGTCCCCTTGGTCTGTAATTAAATTTCGATGGTTGAATATCAACATGCAGTGCATTCTCCCCTCACCCCAAAAAACATTTCAGCGCTGGCTAGATGCTAGTAACAGCACGTGCACTTCTGCCGACACATTGCAAAATTTACCTTTTACCTTGTTTTTTCAAACATGATCCTAAGTAAGAGGATACGGATCAGAGTAAGCAGCCATCAGCAACAACTGTGAGTCGCACATTTGCAGCAAATGAAGTACGTAGTTTGCTTTGGTCCAGAAACAGGCGCCTATGAACCATCTCCAAAGATCCGCCATGAATTGCACTAGTTTCTGTGGATCCATTGCCCGATCCAGAGCAGAAGAGGCTCTGAAAGTGGAGCTGACGCAGGAAAGGGAATCCTTGGTATTGATAGCCAGTAGGAGGTTCCATGAGTATTTCAGGAGGTCATGACTTTCGAATTGGATGATGATCCCCATCACGAACGACCTCTGATTTGCATGACTAGCCTGCACAAACCATTACAGGGTGTGAAAGAGCCAAGTTTGCCTACCACTGAACTAGGACAATCTAGAATAAAAGCCTCCGTTTGCCTAACTCTAATGCTCCACCTAGCAGCGGCAGGCCAAAGCTGTTAATAAAAGCTGCAGCTCTTGTGGAAAGCTATTTTTTTAGCTCCTAGGAGAACTCAGTTGCTACCGTAATTCTCCTAAACTATGCCTGAGTGGAAACTTTTGCAGTAAGCATAGCATGTAAATCCCGTTGGACAAAGCACAGCAAGGAATTAATAGAAAGCAGGAAAGAGAATTGAACAACGGTCAACTTCCGAATTTAACAATGTCTCGGCTTGTCGTTCGTTCAGAACTGCGATAGGAAATAATCACCAGTAACACACAGAGAATCAGGGTTTACTTTGGCAATGATAAGCTTGCAGTCAAAAGTAAAGTACAAGTCGGTGTTTTGGTTCAAAGTCAGCGCTGGGTGTAATCACACCACAGCGCTATTTAACAAAAACTCAGCCCCTTAAACATACATCCGGTGATTATCAATCAAGCACCCCCCACTCCCTTAACAGTAACAGCTGCGAGCAGCGAGGACAGCAGAATCGGAGAGGCCCAGCAACGTCATCAATCATTGCCCTGAATGCTGCTATCCAGGAACTGTTTGTGTGTTCTCTGCGGCTGCTTATCTCCACTCCTTCGTCTCCCACACACCCCATTGATGGCGAGCTCCGGCAGGACTCGACACAATGAGTGTAAATATCAGACAGTTGAGGAAGATTAAAAAGATGACTGTTAGATAAGTGGGATCAATGTTATCTTGGAAGGAATCCTAAAATCCTAGATGCAGAAGTTTTGGAAAATCAATAATACCCATTGACTCATTTTCTGTAAACACGGAGAAGCTATTTCTAGAACAAAGGGAGAAACACATTTAACCCCTTCTCTCTATCACATTCAATTCATGCCTTTTCTAAAGCAAACCAGAAACAAACAACATAGAATATTTATTTATTTATTTACTTACTTACTTATTTATTAGTTTGTCAAACAAGTACAAGATAGCAGGTATGAATATGAACATGGACATGAATGAAGGAAATGAATACAAATAAATGAGGACAGTAGGAAAGGGGCGGTAGGCACACTGGTGCGCTTATGCATGCCCCCTTTACGGACCTCTTAGGAATGGGATGAGGTCCACAGTTTAAGGTTGAAGCTGTGAGAGTTTGAGGATGTAACAACAGAGTCTGGTAGAGCATCTGGTAAAGCTGATGTCCTCTCATTTGGTGTAAGATTGTAATTTAATTTATTGTAATTAAAATCCTGACACATTAAACTATGAGGAAGAAGAAGATAAATGTCAGAAGAAAATAATGTCATTTAATACATGCTTGACAAATAAAATAAATAAAATAAAATAAAATAAATAAAATAAAATAAATAAAATAAAATAAAATAATAAAATAAAATAAAATAAAATAAAATAAAATAAAATAAAATAAAATAAAATTCTGGTCCAGTTCTGAACCAGGCTGAGGAAGAAATACATTGGATGGGCAGCTTGAAAAGAAGGTAAGTTTATTTGATATCATGGAAGACAACAATCGAAGTTAGCTACAAATTTGAGCCAACGAGGCTGTTAATATTTATAGGAAAATTGGTCCTTGGTGAAGTGAGTGAATGTGTGTGTCATTTGAAATGTTTATTCTTGTGGATGATCAGTTCTGGTGGTGGGAAAGATGTTATATTCTCACCTGGCTGGGTATGTGGATTCTTGCCCTATTGTGTGTGCCTATGTGTGGAATCTGCAGAGCCACATTTGTGTGTTCAGAAAATCTCTGTGTTCTGAAGGCATTTAAACTTAATTAAGTTGTCAATGTTCACTATTTTTGAGGCAAGGTGTGTTTTTTATCAGTTTCAGCTTAAACAAATGAAAGGAACATAAAGTTATCTTCTGCAACATTGTTTCTTCTAACTTGCAACCTTGTAACTTCTGGCTATGCATAGTTTATATTTTAGGACTGAAAAATGTGTCAAGGGTGGTAAACGAATATAATTTTCCATGAATATGCAGTATGTCTGTGGAGATTCTCAGTTATCCAAGTCATAGTTTTCTCAAAGGTGCTTTTTCAAAAGGCAACCGGACTGGTTTTTCTTGTTGAGGAAGAAGAAGACATCTTGCTTCTCATCCAAGAAGCTTCATTGTCTTTACCCAACACTCTTGGCCCTTTTCTCCATAGGCCTTTCTTCTTCTCCTCTTAAGTTAGAAACATAGAAGATTGCTGGCAAAAAAAGATCTAGTGGCCCATCAAGCTTGCCCTTTGAATTTTTCTTGTGGTGCTTTCTTTTCCTTTTTAATTTATTTACTTATTATCTTTCACTTATTTTTTTTCCATTTGTATTTAATTTTTAACTTTGGTCGGAGGATGGACATGTGTTTATCCCAAGCGTGATTAAACATAGTTACTGATGATTAACCTCCTACCTCCACTGCCCTTTCTGTGAAGTAATACTTTCTAACTTTACTTTTGAACTTCCCTCCTCATTTACTAATTTGTTCTTGTTAAAATCTATATTCCTTGGTTCCGGAGACTGAAATCTCAATTCATTAATCAGCATCTATACATTCTAATTTTGTGTGAACTAAAAAAAATCCCAAAACCTGAGAGAAATGGTTGGAAAGCCCACCCTAAAAAAATTTCTGGTTGCCCCCTGCGGTACTTCTTCCTTCATTATGAATTGATTTTCTATGGACTATTTCTTCTGCCAAAATAAACTTGGTTAATAATGAACATTCATATACAGTACCTGACCCTGTATAAAGATTTATGGAAAGTTTAAACTCTCTGTAAGCATTTGAACTACTAATGGCCAAAGGAAATTGGCAGTAGATAAGAATGGAAGGAATTCAAGACGGGCTGGACTGTGAGCACAAAGGGACTCATGACACATGTGGACCCTTCTTCGGGCTCTGCGTGGTCTCATCTCCTACAAAAACTCAACACACACTAACTAAACCTTTTTTTTTTTTTTTTGGAAGAGAAGCAGTCCTTTGTAAGCAGAAAGATCTGGGGTGGTAACTGGTGTATCTCTCGTTACACTTACTTGGCTGTAACTGCAAGGCTGGCAAAGAACCACCTGCCTCCTGTCATGGGCAACAGGTCCTACTCAGGACCTTCTGCTAAGTTTTATGCAACTAAGGACTCAGCCAGATGGCCCACCAGATACTAAAATCCAAGTTCCTTCTGATACACAACAAGTTCCATCCACCTTGTATGGGCTGATTGAACAGGATCCCCATGAAATGAGTGACACCAGCAAACCAGAAAGCATCCAGAGAATGATTTCACCAAGACAGTAGACTGATAATGGTGTTCTCCAAAACTAGATCTACCGTACCTGTCATAAGAAACAAGCTAGTTTGTGGTCCCTAGTAAAAGGGGACTAGGGCTTCTGTGCATGTGCAGAAGAGTGTGCGCGTGGGTGCGATATGAACCAGTAGTAAAGGTAAGTAGAACCCACCCCTGCACCAAACCATCAATAACTTCCAGATGACAACTGACAATAGGAGGCTCTTTTTCCTGTTCATCAAGTTTGTTCCTAATGCCCATTACAGGAACCTACAACCTGGCCTTATGGGAAGATCATGAAACTAGACAATTGGATCATTCTCAACCAGTGAATGTAACATCAGCAAGTGAGGATCAACTCCAAGATCCCACCATATCTTCCCTTCCCCACTACGTCCCAGTGTTCTTGCTCAGCCTCACTCCCCAGATCTCCCACATCTCTTACATCCTAAGGCTTAATACAAAATAAAACCAAAATGTTGTGGAATAAAATGAAAAATGAAAGTTCAGCCAAATGCTCTTTGATAAAACTGGAAGAGAGGAGCTAATAGGTCAACACACGTTCAGCATCCTGTTTCAAATGTAGGTTATTCCACAACATCATTTTCTCATAATACTTCTAAAAGAGAATCTTAAACGAAATCTTTAGTATGAATTATACATTGGTTACTTGCAGAATATAGCTTAGAGAAACTTGTATGAAATATTTCAAAAATATTCTTAATTTGCCCATAAAATGTTATCAGAGCAGAGATAATAGTAATTATTTTGCCATAAAAATAAAATGTCCTTCACAATCATTGTATCTGTATTCCACATCAGTTTTAACATTGTCTTTCAAAGTAAAAGCTATCCCACATGCTTTATTTGAATATTTATTAATATAGTTCAACCAATCCATTTTCTAGGTGTTAAAAGGAGCAATTTGTAGGATACAATACATGCCAGGAAAGAAGGAAAGGGAGAAGATAGAAATAGAGGGGAGGGGGAAAGAAAAAATAACAGAAGAGAGAAGAGAGAAGAGAGAAGAGAGAAGAGAGAAGAGAAAGGAAGGAAGGAAGGAAGGAAGGAAGGAAGGAAGGAAGGAAGGAAGGATCATCACTTCCTTCCTTGTCCTAATTATTGAACACAAGTGTCCACTGAACGTTTAACAGCTCGTATAAGGGGGTATTGGTTGTTATTTTTGAAGACCATAAAGAAAGACTTTAGATCTGTGTCTTTGGTGTCCCCATCCAGATAGAAGGTGAACTTCTGGAGCAATGTGCTGAAGAACAGAAAGAGCTCCATCCTAGCCAGGGCTTCCCCTGGACAGGCTCTCTTCCCTGCAATAGCAAACAAGAAAATAAAGCTTATTTAGGAAGTACACCTGATGGAATTGTGCCTGATAAAAAAAAAAAATAACAAGGATCAAACCAGCATGTGGATTTGTAATACCTATCCCAGAGGACTGTACCTGCTGAGAATGGCATGAAAGCATCTTTTTTCCTGAATTGGCCTTTTTCATCCAAAAAAATGATGTGGGTTGAACTTCTCTGGAGTCTCCCAATGGAGAGGATCATAATGTACTGAGGAGAGGACTGGCGCAACAGCCATGTACTAGAAGAGGGAAGTGAGGAAATAGATGACATTAGTTGGTTTTGCTTCATGCAGAGAAGAAAGAGTTTCAAATGAAATAGGCCAGCAGGGAGCAATCTGCAAACATTCTGAAATGGAGTGAAGGGAGAGAGATTTGGTTTAATTTATTTATTTATTAAATGTATATACGTCTCATTATCCATAGTGACTCTAGGTTTACAATTCCATAAATAAGGCATATTAATACATATCTACTGAATTGCCTTGAATATCATCTCAACTAACAGTCATCTTTTTTTTCTTCTTCTGCACACTATCTTGATTAGTAGATTAGTATTATTGGCACACCTTGGGAATGTTGTAACCATGGAATTTTACATCACAGGTTGTTGCCCGTGGAAAGCTCTCAGCACTCCCAATCCGATAACGTTGAGCCTCATGGACCACAGCATTTGTGAAAGGCATCTTCAACCGGTCTTCTATGCTTGGAGTTCGATTTGTACCCACTGCCTCATCAATCTCCTGTTGCACCTTAGCTGTGAGACAAACATATTGAGATGTGATTGACATCTCTTTTACTTTCTCATATTGAGCATCTGCAGTCAACTACCACTTGAATAGAAACATGTTTTCCAAAGCATATTCAGGGAAGACGCTTCTAGTCAGGACAATGGCTCCTCCTCAAAGTCATTTCTTAATAGAGACCATTTTAATTTTTCTAGTGCAAGAAGAGGAGATACTTATTGTTTATCTCTGTCTTGTGTCTTTCTTGATAAGCTGAAAACCACAAAGTGAAAAGTGTTTCCATAGGAGATTTTAGAAGATTATAGTCCCTACCCAAAGTTGGAATAAATAGTAATCAGGAGAAAAAACTAATGTACTTAAATTAATTTCTTAAACTGTTATTACATTGTGTGGGAAAATGAACTCATGGGCTATGTTGTCGAACATCTATATTTCCAGAAGGGTCTCCTAAGGTGAACAGATCCCTACCACAGCAGCAAAAGGCAGAGGGTGCTAAAAATCACCAGGTTAAATCAGTCTGCCTTTGGACTTTGGACATAGGAACAATCAACATTCAAACAATGAAAACAGAAATGTGAGTAGAAGAACTGCCGATTGAACTCAATAATATTCATTTTGATATCATTAGATTATGTGAAACATGACAATAAGGCAAACGTTTAGTTGAACTTGATAGGACTGGGCATTTATTCTATGCTAGAGGTACTGAAGATGGTCGATGTGGTAGAGTTGGTTTTCTCGTCAACCAAAAGCTGAAACACTCTGCAGTAAAATTTGAAAATAGACCAGAGTAGCCCAATGCATTATTCAATTGAACAAACAATACAAGTTTCAAATCATTCAAGCTTATGCACCAACAATAAGCTATAGTGACGATGATGTCAAGGAAGTTTATGGCAATGTGGCCTGCCTTAAAGACAAAGAAAAGTCCCAGTACAAAATACTAAAGGGTGACTTTAATGCAAGAATAGGAAGAACAATAACTGATGAAAAGGTGACCGGCCCATATGGAAATGGTGAACGAGATAATAGTGGTGCAGACTAGTAGATTTTGCTGAAGGACAGGAACTTTATATCATGAACTCATTTTACAAGAAAAAGGCTAGCAGAAAATGGACACAGAAGAGTCCATCTGGGTACACAAGCAAAATTGACTACATCATGCCAAGTGATAAACTATATTCTGCAATTGTACTGTCATCACACATTTTAATGTTGGAAGTGATGATAGTTAATAATACAAGCTAAAATGAAGATAGACTGTCAAAAAGATCATATAAAAATGCTAAAGATGTAACAAAAAACAAAAATGAAGATAAGCTGTTAGACGAGAACAGCAATTTTAGATTAATCTATCAAATCACTTTGCTCTATTGCAAGATTTGGAAGAGATGAACATTATCTTGAGTCTTTGGATAAAGGCGGCATACAAGTTGAACAAATAAATTATGGATCAAAATGAACAAATAGTTAAAAACTCCTTGAACTATATATATAGCACAACTGGAAAAACAATTTATACAATCAAAAATCTTTGATGAAACTATTGAATTAATGAAAAAAACAATGGACAGTGAAGAATGCCGGAAGTTTCACTAATAAACTGAAGTACGTTGAACTTTGCAAGACCACAAGAAAACATATCCAAGAAGAAACTCATCAGTTTAACATGAAGCTTGTAAAAACGGCAATTGAAGAAAACAAAGGGATTAATAGAGCAAATGCAAGCTTATAAATACAAGAGAGAAAGTTTTTGTATTAAAACATGAAGATGGCTCTGTGTGAAGAACAAGACAGGAAATGTTAAAAATAATTCAAACAGAATTATTAGATTAGTAATTAATTAGTTTAAGAATTAATAGAAATAAAATTCTATTCAGAGCTATGCAAAGATCAAGCTCACTCAAAAGTAACAACACCCATGAAAGAGGAAATGCCAAATATGCTTCAGGAAATGACTGTTACAGTTTAAATCATGAAAGCTGGTGGCCACAGTTTATAAAAGATAGTAAGAAAACTGTACTTGAGATGCCTCAGAAAAGAAAAAAATACCGAATACATGGAAAAATGCTGAAGTGATTCTTATACACAAGAGATGATTTAAAGAACTATCATCCAATAATCGTTTCAGTCACCTACAAGGTTTTCACCAAGATAATAGGAAAAAGAATAGTGGGAACATTAAACGATGGCATAGCCAAAGGAGCAGGCAAAGTCCAGAAATGGCTACAGTAGAATGGATCATCCAGGTTGTTCCGCAAATCATTGAAAGGCACAATGAATTACACCTTGCCTTTGTGCATGGCTTTCATTGACTACAAACATGCATTTGACTCAATATTTCAGCAAGCAATAAAGCAACTGCAATGAGTTGTACTGTTGAGTACAACAGTTATTTAGTTTATTTTTTCCATGATTAATGCTGAAAGCTCTAAGAGTACTGATATCTTTATATATTTCTGGATATTTCTTTACCTTGAATGTGTTGTAATTTAGCCATTGCTAGGAGGCTGCAGAACAAAGTATGGCTTGTAATTACTGTCCCAGCAGTAAAGAGACCAAACACAGTAATCACAAGATCTTCAGGAGAGTAGATACCCTCAGATGAGTTCTGGTCCTGAAAAGAAAATAGAAAGGGAACTGGAAGAATAAAAATTCTACTTGGAATTGAATTAAAGTAATTCATGAAACTCTCCATAGTGTCTCTTTCAATTAAAGGAAACTTAACTTGACCAGACTGACTTTAGAATATATACAAAACATTTTCAATTCTAAGGTATTTCTGGGATCAACATCTGATACGTGGAGGAAACAGCATGACTATCTGGCCTACCCATCAAATATTTACCACAAGAAACAGCCAGAATTAAAGACTGGACACTCTGAATTTGACTAAGGTTTTTTTTTAGAACTGGACTACAGCAGGCCTTAAGGTGTATGATTGGAAAAAATTAGATCTGAGCATAGAAGCCTGAATGTTATATCTGAGAGACTACCATATTTTCCGGCGTATAAGACGACTGGGCGTATAAGACGACCCCCGAATTTTCCTGTTAAAATATAGGGTTTGGGCTATACTCGCTGTATAAGACTATCCCTCTTCCAATGCACACCAAATAAAAATTAAAAAACATCAACTGGCTCACCCACAATGTAAAAGCAGCTGTGCTAGACCCAAAATGGCCCCTGCAACAAGCAGGAATCTCACACAGCCACAAAAAGCCCAAAAAAAACAACTTTCACACTTTACACACACACAACACAACACAACTGGCTCACCCACAATGTAAAAGCAGCTGTGCTAGACCCAAAATGGCCCCTGCAACAAGCAGGAACCTCACAAAGCCACAAAAAGCCCAAAAAAACAACTTTCACACTTTACCCACACAAAATTCCACATACAGCTTTGTGAGATTCTGTGTGTTTGTGTAGTTAGAGTGAAACACTACAAAAACACACTAAATCTCAGAAAGTTGCACAAATATTATTTTATTTTATTTTATTTTTATTTTTATATGAAAGCTAAATTTAAAACTTCCTAAGCTTTAAATGGCTAGATCTAAAAAAGAACAACTAAAAAAACCCCCAATTAACTTTTTTTTTTAAAGATCCCAAAGTGGAAAAAAACTTACCTAATAGAACAGGGGTCTCCAACCTTGGCAACTTTAAGACTTGTAGACTTCAACTCCCAGAATTCCTCAGCCAGCTTTGTTTTGCTGGCTGAGGAATTCTGGGAGTTGAAGTCCACAACTCCCTGCCTGCTTGATTGCAGGCAGGGAGTTGCTTGCTGATATGGAATGGATTCAGGCAAGCGAAGCAAGGCAAGCGTTGCGACTAGCAGCTAAGGTAAGCAAGCTGGAGGGGGAAAACTTTTTTTCTTTTACATGGCTCTGGCGATCCCAGCTGAGTTGCCTGATTAGCAGATCGTCAGAGCTTGGATCGCCAGAGCCATGTGAAAGAAAAAAAGTTTTTTCTTTTCTACATGGCTCTGGCGATCCCAGCTGTGTTGCCTGATTAGCAGATCGTCAGAGCTTGGATCGCCAGAGCCATGTGAAAGGAAAAAAGTTTTTTCTTTTTACATGGCTCTGGCGATCCCAACTGAGTTGCCTGATTAGCAGGCAACTCAACTGGGATCGTCAGAGCTTGGATCGCAAGAGCCATTTAAGGCTCGTCAGAGCCTTTCGGGCTGGTCTGCCTGGTTACAGGAGAACGACACCCAGCATATAAGATGACCCACGACTTTTGAGAAGATTTTCATGTGTTAAAAAAGTTGTCTTATAAGCAGGAAAATATGGTAATCCTAATAGTCTAATCCTAATACTTTGGCCACCTAATGAGAAGGAAGGGCTCACTGGAGAAGAACCTAATGCTGGGAAAGATTGAGGGCAAAAGAGAATGAGGTGGCTGGATGGAGTCACTGAAGCAGTAGGTGTGAGCTTAAATGGACTCCAGAAGATGGTAGAGGACAGGAATGCTTGGAGGAACATTGTCCATGGGGTCGTGATGGGTCGGACATGACTTCACAACTAACAACAACAATCCTAGCAGAAATTGCTGTTGCAAGATCAATAATTATCTTCACCTATTAAGATGTAGAAGTTGTGTAAATTAGCATGTAAAGCAAATTTCTATACATACACATTTTTTGAAGGGAGATAACTTTAGAAACAATTATGTCGGAATAGTAATTTATGTCAACAAATAGCAATTTAAAGTAAACAAAAAAGGGGGAATCAATATTTTCATATTCTTTCATATGCAGTGAACTTGTTTCATCTTAGATACACATTGGAGATATTTAGACATTTATGCAGAGACAGTATCTATATCTACCTTCTCCATTCTATGAAGGAAGCAATCAATATAGTCACGTGGGTTCTGAGGATCCAATGTTTTCTTGTGTAATTCTACTTCCTCACGGATATAACCATGGAGTTTTTCAGTCTCAGCAAAAATCTTGATGTGTTTCCCAGGAAAGCATTCCATTATTTTTGGAAAAGTATTGTAGACCTGTGGCAGAGAGGAATAGAATAGAATAGAACAGAATAGAATTCTTTATTGGCCAAGTGAGATTGGACACACAAAGAATTTGTCTTTGGTGCATATGCTCTCAGTGTACATAAAAGACAAGATACATTCATCAAGAATCATAAGGTACAACACTTAATTATAGTCAAAGGGTACAAATAAACAATCAAATCATACTAGGAAACAATATCAATATAAATCGTAAGGATATAAGCAACAAAGTTACAGTCATGCAGTCATAAGTGGAAGAGATGGTGATAGAATGATGAAAGACGACATATGAGGTAGCAATAGTAAGGGTGCAACTTAGTGAGTAGTTTGACAGTGTTGAGGGAATTATTTGTTTAGCAGAGTGATGGCAATTGGAAAAAAACTGTTTTTTGTCTATTGTTTTGGTGTGCAGTGCTCTATAGAATTGTTTTTAAGGGTAGGAGTCAAAAACAATTCATGTCCAGGATGTGAGGGGTTTGTAAATAATTTCATAGACCTCTTTTTGACTCATGTAGTATACAGGTCCTCAATGGAAGGCAGTTGGTATTTATTTATTTATTTATTTATTTATTTATTTATTTATTTATTTATTATCAGCAAGTACAAGGAAACAAGAGTCAAAACAAAGCCAAAAGATAACCAGAATAACAGGCAAGTTTGGCCTTGCACTACAAAATGAAGCAGGGCACAGGCTGATAGAATTCTGTCAAGATAATATGACGGTCATAGCAAACACTCTTTTCCAACAACCCAAGAGACGACTCTACACATGGACATCACCTGTCAACACAGAAATCAGATTGACTATGTGCTCTGCAGCCAAAGATGGAGGAGATCTATACAGTCAGTAAAACAAGACCAGGAGCTGATTGTGGCTCAGATCATGAGCTCCTCGTTGCAAAATTTAGATTTAAATTGAAGAAAGTAGGGAAAAGCACTAGGCCACTCAGGTATGAACTAAATCTTGGAGGGACAGGGGAGTGAGAGAGGCGCTTCAGAAGACCAAGAGGAACAGGCAAGTTTCCTCAGAAGGTTGGAGGCAGCTCTTTGACCCGCGGTGGGGGAGGCGGCCATTACAACTGCTACAAGCTGGAGCAACTGGACTAAGATTTGAGCAGGAGTGAAGACTGAACAGAGTATTGTTATCGGGTGAGTGATTGGCCAGCTCACAGGTAAGAAGAAAAATATTTTAAAGCTTGAAAGAAGTCCCAATGAGTAATTAGCGGCTAATTGGCACTCAGGAATTCAAGTGGAGAGGGGGAAAAAAGAGGAACTTTAAAAGGAACCTTCCACCTGAATTTAAAACTGGACTTGTAAGAAACTAAAAATAAGATAAGAAAAAGAAACAGAGTAGTATTCTTTAAACAACAAAAGGATTTAATTTGGAGAAGAGGAAGTAATTATTTTTGTGGATTTACAATGGATACTTTATTGTCGGGAGACTTGTGAATTGGAGAGAGATATCTAGTGGTGAAAAGAAAGCATCGTATTAAGTTTATATAGGCCATCGTGAGAAAATACTGGAGGAGTGTTTGTCTAAACAGCTGGAGCACGATTTCAAAAGAAGTGGAAAGAATATAGACTGGAATTGGAATGGTCTAAATGAATATTTGAATTGGACACTATTTGGAAAGAAAAAAGAAAAAAAGAGAAATTATAAGGACTGGAATTTGAACTATATGCAAACGAAAAAAATAAATTTAAAAATCTTTGCCCTTTAAATTGATAACATGGAGAACTGGGAGGAGGAGTATGAGGAACTAAGGGAGATATTTCAAAAGATAAGAGAAGCATTTAAGGGAAATAAAGAAGTGGAAGGTTGGTTAGAATGCAAAAAAAAAAGAAAGAGAAATATGAATGAGAAACAAGAGAAGCAAGAAGACAATATTGAAAAGGAAATAATTGAAAATAAAGCAGGGGTGAAATGCTCCCGACTTGGGCGAGTAGGTAGCGATGGCAGCGGGCAGTTCAGAGAACTGTTAGCAAAAATCCCTCCCCCCCAAGCCTCCAGCTTGCTTACCTTCGCACGCCTGCCTTGATTCGCTTGCTGTAATCCCTGCAATCTATTGCATCAGCAAGCAACTGAATCTCCCTGCCTGCAATCAAACTCATCGGTCAGCAGCTCTTTCTGCCTGCCTGCCTGCCTGCTTGCCTTGTCCTGGTAAGTTTTTCCCCCTTTGGGAGCTTAAAAAAAAATAGTTAATTGGGGTTTTTTTTAGTTGTTCTTTTTTTAGACCTAGCCATTTAAAGTTTAGGAAGTTTTAAATTTAGCTGCTTTTATATAAAAATAAAAATAAAATGAAATAAAATAATATTTGTGCAGGTTTCTGAGATTTTGTGTGTTTCTGTAGGGTTTCACTCTAACTACACAAACATACAAAATCTCACAAAGCTATATATGTGAATTTTGTGTGTATAAAGTGTGAAAGTTGGTTTTTGAACTTTTTGTGGCTGTGTGAGGTTCCTGCTTGTTCCAGGGGCCGTTTTGGGTCTAGCACAGCTGCTTTTACATTGTGTGAGCCAGTTCTGTGTACTGTGTGTGTAAAGTGTGAAAATTGGTTTTTTACTTTTTGTGGCTGTGTGAGGTCCCTGCTTGTTGCAGGGCCATTTTCGGTCAGCACAGCTGCTTTACATTGTGTGAGCCAGTTGTGTTGTGCTGTGTGTGTAAAGTGTGAAAGTTGATTTTTTGAATTTTTGTGGCTGTGTGAGGTTCCTGCTTGTTGCAGGGGCCATTTTGGGTCTAGCACAGCTGCTTTTACATTGTGTGAGCCAGTTGTGTTGTGCTGTGTGTGTAAAGTGTGAAAGTTGATTTTTTTTGAATTTTTGTGGCTGTGTGAGGTTCCTGCTTGTTGCAGGGGCCATTTTGGGTCTAGCACAGCTGCTTTTACATTGTGGGTGAGCCATTGTGTTGTGTTGTGTTTTTGTAGTAAAAACAAAAGAAGTGCACATACCACAGCCATAGCCACGCCCACCTGACCAAAAATCACGCCCACCCAGTACCTACCAGCCACGTCCACTAATTACACACCCACAGAACCGGTAGAAAACACCTAGATTTCAAGATGATATAAGATACAGATTGATGACGAGTGATGATAAAATAATAGAAAGGGGGAATTTCTCTCAAAAAAGAAGAAGAGAGAAGGAAATGGGAAATATTGAGAAGGAAAATTAAAAAAGTAAAAACTAGAGAAAGGGGGCAAAAAGGGAGATATAAGAAAAAGAAGAAGATAAGAGAATGGGAGAAAGGGAGGAAAATATTAAGAATGGGAATTTTGGAGAGATTAAAAGAAAATGGTTAAAAGAGGAGAGCAGAAAGAAAATTAAAATATTAATATGCTGATTTAAGAGAAGAATATTAGCAGTAGAAATTGTACGTAAAAAGTAATTTAGAAGAAATATATAGATTATTGTAAAAAGGATATGAATAAGGATGAAATGAAATGTGGGTAAGAAAAAAGAAGAAATATGTGGTTTAATGTAAAATAGATCAGTAGATACAATGTGAAAGACAGAACGGGTTATATGTTTTGCTGTTTGAAGATGTACATATTGGAGAGAAATAATAGTGGATGGTAAAGAAGTATGTCTTAAAGATGGAGAACAACAAAGGAATTAATTGAAATTATGATGAAAAATTGAAATGTAAAATTGAACAAAATTGAAATGTTAGTAAATGAAGTAAGTAAGAATGAAATGAAATATAAGTAAGAAGTAAAATAGAAGAAATATATTGTTAAAGATAAAATAGACTAAGGGTTGGAAGGCTAACTTAGCAAAGGCTTTAAGATAAAAGGAATAAGTTGAAAAACATGGTTAATAATTATGAGGGGAATTCTGAGAAATATATTTAATAAATGGAGGAAAAGTCGGGGTTATCTGGACACCACAATGGAAAATAGTAAATGGAAAATAAATACAGCAATAGAGAGAGATGAAAGAAGAAGTAGAGGGATGAAAGGAAGGGAGAAGGAGAGAGAGTAATAGAAAAAAGGGAAGAGGGGAGGAAGGAAGGGAGGGGAAATAAGAGTAGGAGAGAAGGTTAGAGAGGGAGAAAGAGAGGAGGAGGGGGAGAAGGAAGAGGAAGTATTGAAGGAGTAGGAGAGGAGGAAGAAGAAAGTAAGAAGGATAAAAGAAGGGAGGGAGATGGAAGAGAATGAGAAGAAAGATTGCTGTACAATAAAAAAGATGAAATGGAAGAAAGGCAACCTTGAACATGTTAAATGTACTAGGATAAAGAATGAATTATTAAAAAAGAAAGGAGAATAAATATGAGTAAAAATAGAAAAATTAGAATTTGAGGGCAAATGAAGTTGTTTTATAAAATAAGCATAGAAATATTAAGATATGATCAAAAAACATGGAAAAAGAAGATCTTGGCAGAAATTGAGGAGCTCATCACATCTAATCTCCACATCTTTTATTTTAACATTTACACACAGAGAAAAAAAAACCCACTAGTAAAAATGAATGTTTATGGCAGGAGGAGCATCAGAGAGGAAAAACATACCAGTCCTAGGAAACCAGTAAAAAATCTTATTTGAGACTCCACAGTCTGCTGGTTTTCTATGAAGATGTGATCTTTGTAATCAAATCGATTGCCAAAGACGACTGCACAGATCACATTAGAAACAGCACTTGCAACATTTCTTCTTAGGTCAAAAGGTTGCCCTGCAACAGAGGCCACAGAAATTTATGAGACAGATTAAAGAATATGGATCTCCCCTTCCACAATCCTCACCACAAAACTGCAAGGAAAAATGATATGGGTCAAAGAAGTTATGCAAAGATTTTACTGGTAATTTTTGATAAATAATATTAAGTAGGGGAGTTTATATGTAATTAAATTAAAACCTAGATCTTTAGGTTTCTTCGAAACCTTATTGCTGTTTTCTTCTGTCAAAAATTGTTTTCTCACTTTTTTCCCCACTCTTTTCCCTTCTGATTCCAGAGATTTGTCCATTAAAGATTAAATTCAAAAGAGCCACAAATCTCTAAAGGGACACTAATTTATGACCATTTAATTCAGATCCACAGTGGATTTCAGTTCTCCACCCTCATAGAAACTGCCTATTGTTGTCTCTCCATGCCTATAAGAGCAGTTGTTATCCACGTTTTCCTTTTTGCCCTTAGATTTCCTATCTCATTCATCCATAAATTCCTTTCCTGGCTGCTGATTCTATTCCCTCAGCACTTCCTCCTTCTCTTCTATCTGCCATCCATCCATCCATCATCCATCCATCCATCGATCCATCCATCCATCCATCAACCATCCAACCATCCAACCATCCATCCATCCATCCATCCATCCATCCATCCATCCATCATCATCCATCCATCCATCTATCTATCTATCTATCTATCTATCTATCTATCTATCTATCTATCTATCTATTCCATACACATTTTTTTTATCTCCTTCCAGAAAAGACTTGTCCACAGAAGATGGTTTTTCAAGGTGTTACAGTCCCTGGAATAGTCACTTTATACCTGTCAAGAACCAGGAAATCAGGAGATCCAGACAGTTCAAATGGGTATAAAGATTTATTGTAAGCTTAAGCTTTCTACAAGAATCTGAACTACTAATGGTTAAAGAAAATTAACGGGAGATAAAAGTAGAAGGAATTCAAGGTGGGCTGGAATTAGATCTCTTGTGGGCATGAAGGGATTCATGACTGATGATTTGTTTGACCCCTCCCTCAGGTTCAACCTAGTCATCTCCTACAATAGCCTTAATTCAAATCCATGGCACATCACAGATTTCCATATTTTCCTTACCTCACTTCGTTTACCTATTTCATTTATCCATTATGTATTTTGTTGGTTGCTGAATTTGCTTGATATATGATTTAACATTATGTTCAAGCCTGGTTTAACATAATCATTCTAAAAAGAATCCAGGACTAAAATGTTTTTTTTTCTGTGTATAATTACTAAATTAATTATTTTCCTAGTATCTACGGCATGTTCCTTCAGTTACTACAACCACAATAAGGTTTCACTAATTCTGGGCAAATTTTACAAAGCTGAGGGCTGACACTGGATTGAAAAGAAAGACACAGCTTGAAAGCTGTTATATTTAGCTTTTATATTTCCTGTGTGTATTTTTGCCTTCTCTCTTGGATGCCACTGTGAAAAGGGCCTGGGGATACTCATTGCTTATCTAAGTTTTTCTTTATTTTGTGCACTTTCAGTTTCAGTTCAGAATCTAGTTTTTCTGTAATATCATACAGTACAACAAACCCTTTCCATTTTCATATTTTAAATACTCTTCCTACTATGATTCTTATGTGGGAGAACAGCTTTCAGTTTCTTTAGAGAACCTTTTTTGGCAGCCATTTCCTCCACCAGACAAAGGACTTCCTCCTGCACCCTCTCAGACATTCTTTTCTTCCCCATCCCAAAATCTCTCAAGGTGGTCAGTGTGAAACATCACAGCTCCTTCAATTTCCTCTCATCAGTAGTATCGAATCCTGAAATAAAAGACATCAAAAGGATCACAATGTCCGTCAAATCTCAGCTTTGGTGAAGGAGGATATTTAGATATAATATGATGTCTCAGGCACTTTCCTTTTCCAACTCTTTGTCTCAATCATGTTTGAAACAGGCCACTGCATTGCAATAAATTATGCTTCACAGAATGTTCCTTCCTCATATTTAATGCAAACCAGGCTTGATATTTGAAATACTTATGAAGCAAACTTCACAATTTCCACCTTTCCATTCTTAGCTGCTATCATATGAAGAAAAGAATGAATGAGGCTATGGGACTTCCGGTCGGCACCGCAGGCTTCGTGGACGGTCTTTTTAGACCACCAGCCCTGTGTCTTTGTAAAAGCCGCTTTGACAGTGCAAACCGGCTGTCTGGCAGCTGAAAAACCTCTCCTTCAGGAAAAGAAGGAGAGGAGAGCTGATGGGCGAGGGTAGAGCTCCCCGAAAGCCCTCTGGAATATTTCCGGAGGCTTGGAGGGTGAGAGCTCCCCAGTCAGCCCGCCAAGAAGCTCCGAAGCCAGGACGACTCTGTGAAAGCAGAGCGAGAAGCCGTGATCCAATCCTGCTGTCAAAAGTGAGTCTGAGTGATTACAAGCGCAGGCAGAGTGGAAAACAAGAGAACAAGCCTTAAAAATAACAAAGCTTAACTCTGGAGTTACTTTGTTTTAAATTGAATCTCATTGAGCTGGAGGCTGAAGATGGTGTCTTTGTTATGGTTCTGAAAGTGAAAGCCAAAAACAAAAGTGCTTGTTGAGAACGCTGCACTGGGAGAGTGGATTAGCTGCTTATTAACTGTTGGGAAGTGAGAGCTTATGGAGGAAAAAAAAACTATCCTGCCTGATAAATTAGAGACTATAAACTACAAACATTTTAAAGTTGTTTAAGGAACGTTGTGGCTTTGGGGGAAAAAAGGATCTTTTTAAAAGGGAAAAAAATGGCTTCTAAACAAGTGAAACCAGGAGTTGTTAAAAGAGGGGGAGGTTCTCCAGTTGTGTCAGTGGTGACACAGAAAGCACAACTTCCGGCTGATTCACAGAGTCAGGAGGCTGCACTTAATGAGTTTAAAGAATTTATGAAAGAAGCCATGAATAATCAAGCAACAGCACTGAAAGAAGCTATGAATAATCAAGCCACAGCAATGAATAATTTAACACTACTTGCGGAAGGGAAATTAAAGAAAATTGAGGAGGATATAAGATCAATCAAGGAAGTGGTTGCAGAAAAACACGATGAAATAAGAGATGATATTGTTTATGCTGTATCAGGATTGTCAAACCTTGTCATCCAGCTTGATGGGAAAGTGGAAGAAATTAATGAAGCTAATTTAAATTTGGAAAGCAAAATGGGAGATGTAATGACCAAAACAGAGAAAGTGGATGATGAACTGGTAATGTTACAATACAAATCCATGGAATTTGCTTTGAGACTGAGAGGCCTGAAAGAAAATAGCAAAGAAAATCTAAAAGATATTTGTGCTGATGCTATTGCAGAGATAATTAAAGAAAAATTAAAGAAGATGTGGCAAGCTAAATTGATAAAATTTACAGGGTTAATTCCTGGTTGGCAAGACAAAGGCAGCTGCCAAGAGATGTGGTGATTTATTTTACAACCAGGAGGATCAGAAATAATATTTTACAAGCTTCCTACAAGAATAAAGTTCAGGTGGCTGGGCAAGAGGTGGTGGTTTTGAAAGAGATTCCTCCAAAGATGCTGAGAAGTAGAAAAGACTTTGGCTTTTTGGTAAATGAGCTGAGAAATCAATGTGGCATACAGATGGGATGTTCCAACTGGTTTAATAGTGACTTATAATGGAGAAAGATACCGGTTAAACACAGTTTGGAAGGCAAAATATTTTTACGTAAATGTTTTAAAGGCTGGATACCCACCCTCACCAGGGCAGGGGAAGGAAGAAAATGGAGATGATACAACAAGAAAAAGATGGAAAGCAGATGCAAACTTATGTGGAGGTCGCAGCTGGAGGAATTATCATGGAAGAAGCTTTGGATCTTGGGGGTTTACCCCCAACTTTGGAACCACCCAAGAAGGAAGAGCCGAAAGTACAACGACTGACCCGATCAACTTATAAACTTCAAGAACAACAATCAAAAAGGCAACAATCTCAAGATTTATCTCAAGAAGTTCAAAAAACAGAAGCAGGGGGGGCGGGCTAGGCCGAAGTGTAAGGTGGAGGAGGAGCTTCAGCTGATGCTCATACGGCTTCGAAAGGCTAAAGATGGCAACTAAATTCCTATCTTGGAATGTCAATGGCCTAAATTCACCACAAAAAAGAAAGAAAGTATTTCACTACTTGAAACAATTTAGCAATGATGTTATTTGCTTGCAAGAAACACATATTAGATTATTAGACCAAAAATATTTGATAAATTCAAGATTAGGTACACATTTTGTGGCATCAGTGCCAGAGAAGAAAAATGGGTTAGTTATATACGTAAGGAAAGGATTATCAACTAATCTAATTGAGGCATATGATCAAGGAAGATATATTGCAATTGAATTATTGACACAGACTGGAAAAATGCTTTTAATTGGAATATATGCCCCTAATCAGCAACAAGACAAGTTTTATAAATTTTTACATACAAAAATAATACAATGGGATTATAAATCTTTTATATTAATGGGTGATTGGAATGGAGTAATAGACACACAGAAAGATAAAAAAAAAGCTTATCAAAGATTTCAACACGTGCAAGATTACCTAAATCTTTTTTTGATATGATGGAAGATATAGAACTGAGAGATATTTGGAGAGAATGTAACGTGGAGGAAAGAGACTTTACCTTTTTTTCTGATAGACATCAATCCTTCTCCAGGATTGATTTTATACTAACCACAAATGATTTTATTTCCAGGGTGAAGAAGATGAAGATATGTCCGAGAACTTTAACTGATCATAGTCTGGTTTGGGTGGAATTTGAACAGGAGAGGGGTGAAAGGAGGTCTTGGAGGTTAAACGAAAATTTATTTAGATATGAAGAAAATGTGAAAGAGCTTAAAAAACAAATGAAAGAATTTTTTGCTATTAATATGAATAAGGGTACCTCTATGGAAATGGTCTGGGATGCTAGTAAGGCTTATATGAGGGGTATGTTAATACATATGAATAATAAATATAGATTAAAACAACAAAAGAAGTGGAAAGAGATAGAGGAAGAAAT